GCAAAAACGTACAAAAAACACACTTTTCTATTTGACTTTGTTGTATGGATTTCACGGTGCGGTCTGCGAAAAGAACCTTTAGCGTTGCGCACATTCGTTGCATGTGTTAGAATGGACCAGAGAAAACGATTAAAAACGCATTGAAAATTGATTGCAATACATTTGGATGGTGAATCGATTAAAGGGTCTTTGGTGTGCATCATACAACGCAATTCAATCGTTCATTTATGCAAAATTGGACTTTGAACCACCTGGAAATTCTCTGCGTTTAAAGATTATTTTTTGTTTCTCGGATATATCATTCGCAGCGCTCTACTGGCCATATACAGGCGCATCACGCGCTCTCTCACCAACACCATCGTGTGTATTGACACGACCACAAAACGTCTCACAACTCATTTTTTCGACGTATAAGTGAGTGAATCGTCTTGTGTTGGTACTACACTCGGTAAAATAAACGCATGTTTGCGACACATATTATGAATGCATGGTATAGTTACGAACATATACACATTTATATTTTTGGATTCGCATTACTGATTGTGACTCACATTGTCGACAACGGCGAAGACGACGACGACGACGACGAACATTCATTCCACATCGAGTGTAATATACAGCAACACCGTATACTGCTTAGCGATAAGCTTTTGCCGCACGCATTTTTGTGATACGGTATGCGACAGCATTTCATTTGTGTGTTTTGTTTGACGAAATCAATAGTGACTCAATGACAATTCGAATGTTCTCTCTATCTCATTTATTTTTGTTGTTGACAATTGTCGCAAAATTCGGTAAAATTTCGATAGAGAAAACCGAAAAAATACTGGAAAAAACTGGATATATTTATCATTAAGACGAAAATCCATGTGAATGTTCAGTGATATATTTTAGATTTGACAATTTCCGAAGCAGACGCAAGAAGAAGATGAATAAAAAATATAACATTGTTCAATACAGAAAACGTCAAGCTGTGAATGGATTTGACAATTACTGATTGTGCTACACATTACGCCATCTATTGGTTAATTTCGTTACGTCTTGTGCAAAATACTCTATTTCCATTTAAATTCGAAATCTATTTATGTTTTAGTTTCTTTTTTGCTTTAATTTATTTTTACACCAATTTTATGGGCTATTTGGCATACAAACGTAAATTCATTTACAATGTCAGTAACAGGCAGTGCCATTTGATTTGAAATTGATGAAATTTAAAAAGAAACAAGTAATTGAAAACCGTTTCCTATCGCACTGATTGCAAATATTGGCACAATATCACGGTTTTCGACAAAATCGAAGTCTTTTTTTTAAATTCTTATGCAATTTAATACGAAAGACGACTTTTCGGAAGGTTAATCAAAAATTGGACGTTAAATTTCTTGAAAATATACCATAAATGCTAAGAAAGGAAAAAGAATGATGGCAACTCAAATTGTGTAAAAATCATGTTCGCGTTACTGCAATACCAAACTCATCTGCGCACAGACTTTGAACTCTCACAGATTTAATCTGTACCTTACAAAACGTTTTCACTTTTTAACTACACTTTTTTCAATAAAATTTGAACTGAATTGAATCGACTCAAAACAAGTCCTTCTAAAACAAACACTGAATATGAAAACAGTGCCAAGCTTCTCGGTAATTGGTACTAGTAGCACATATACACACAAAAAATACCGTTATCAAATTCGTTGTTTCTTTTATCATAGATGATCTATTTAAATTCAAGGTTCCATAAATAAAAATGAAATTACATTCACGCAATCGATAAAGAAAAAATGACATTAAAATTCGGCAAAGTCTCACCTAAATTCGACATGATCCAGTGACAACATTTTCATCGATTCTTATCTATTTGAAATAATTTTACACTCAATTTTTCAAAAGTATTTCAAAATTCTACGAAGAGAATATAGTCTCTAACACCTCACAATCGTTTTAATCGTTTCTTACACTAATTCTATGAAATTGAGTCGTCATACTTTTTTCTGATAAAATCATTTTTCTATTGATTGGAGTACTTAAACTTCTGATTGAAAAATCACCTTTTTTTATCAGGTAATAAATTCTCAGCAATAATCGATTCGAAACCAAAAACTAATAACGTTTTCAGTTATACGATTTGAACCAAACAAAAGCTTGTAAAATTAGCTACGTTTTCAAATTATAGCAAATTACAAAAGAAAAAATTCGTTAAAAAAGCGATTAAACTTCAAGAATAAGCTAATAGTGGTCTTTATTTTCCCAAAATTGTACTTAAAATTGTGTGTATGATTAATTGGCTGGTCAAAAATGATTTATTTACTTTTTGGTACGATAGTGAATTCAAATGTAATTGAAGTGATTTGAAATCACATGAATGAGCGCATGACTGTTGCAGTTTGTTCGGGCTAGCGCAAACGAAAAAATTTGCGATTGGTGAACTAACCGTACGGCACATGTATGGCAATAATTTTTCGGTGGAATTTTAAAAAATTACAATTAATTCTATGTCGGCGTGTGAAATGATATACTTGATTTTCGTGTGCACATAGCACAAAAAATATTTAAAAAAAACTCGTGCATTTATAGTTCAGTCGTGCAACTATTGTTTTTTTTTAAATTGAAGCGAAAAAAAGGGCGAAACAAGAAGAGAGTGTTGTTACCAATTGATGTTTGTGTTATTGAATTCCGTACGGTCAGTTTGTGTCGCACATAGATTTCTCGGAAAACTATTTGAATCGCTTTTTGCCTGAACGGCGCAAATATAGATGTATCGTGTATTTGTTTATGTTTGAATTTTTCATTTTTGAATTGTTATTTTGCCTCTCCTTCCCTTTCTCTCTCTCTCTCTCTCTCTGGTTCTCCCAAACGTTTCTTTTTTTTCTTCATTCTTCACCACTTATATACCGTATTGAATTTCAGTGTAACGTTTCAATTTCAGCGTATAGAGATCTAGCTCGAATATGAATTGCAGACGACGGCTCGTGGATTTGGCTTCAAATGTTATCAGAGTAAAACATTTCATGATATATTTTATGTGACAATTGAAGTGTATGTTTACGATGAATTCAATGTCGGCATAACATGGTCTAGGGGGGAGACACAAACGATTAAACCATGATTCCAATATATAAACACTAATCCTACTATTCCACCAATCCGTCATTTCATTGTCAAATATGATGTCACATCTCGCCGCTTTGTTGAAAACTTATTTATCGACACTGGAGTATGACATTTTGTTATTGATATAATTCAAAATATTTTTCTCATCAATCAAATTTTGAGAAAGTGTATCTATTGTTTTGTAAATTTGTAATCGACTTTTGAACTAAAAAATATTTCAAAAAAGAACAAATTACTCAAAACAAGTTCAATGCTTTGATCAAATTCTGTACTATCCATTACAAAAACATTGAATCTAACCCCATTTTCGCTATTCTATACATGGGATTAGTGAATCCATGTGAATCCAGCTACTGAATTGTCTATTCCACTTTAATTTCTCGAATTTTTACACTAAAAGTCTAAACCTATTCCATGTGTCTACCCCCTAGAACATGGTTTTGAATAGGATCGTGTGCCACCGTTTGGCACGTTCGCAAGCATTATGTTTTGTCTATCATTCTATGACAACGACGGCAACAACAACGAGAATTAGTCAGCAAAAGTGCGTTGTCATCATTTAATCGAGACGGACAAATGACAATTGATTCAATTTCAAAATAATTATGTGGTACACACTAAATCGTTTAACGATTTTTTGAATTTTCATTGTATCTAACCAGTTTTGATTGTATGGCTTTTTTCATTGACAAACGAACTGCCAGTTTTAAATCTGATGAATAAGTATCTCTTTACGTAGATTTTTTATTGTTGTTGTTGTTTATAGTTGAAATTCAATATAGCTAAACTGTTTACTATTACTAATTCGTGGCATAATCTTATCTTGTCGATAGCTGATACAATTTTTGATAAATTTGTCATCGTTCTCAATTTAAAACTTAGCTTAGAGATCATTTGAATGGCGTCTTGTCTTTTTTTTATTACGGTAATTCCCCTAAATTGTTTATCCCCTAAAGAATTTGAATGCATTTAAAAAAAGATAAAAGTTTATGTTGACTTTTAATAAAAGGAAAATTCCTAGGAGAAATGACTGTCACGTTTATACGTAGATATATCGTAAATAGCAATAAACCAGAAATGTGCTCAAATATAATACAATGCATTATTTTTCATTTTTTTCACAATATGTGCCCCATGAAAATCAATTAATTGAATTTATAAATTCGGAGACGTCAAAAGAAATAATTAAATCAATAATATTGATACTCTGTGTACAAATGGAATGGCGTTAAATGCGTATGTAATTGTTGTTGTTGCTTGTACCAGAAACCATTGAACCAGGTATTTAAATAAAATCGAGCACACCAGAAACCAGATGCTGTTTTTTTTTTCCTTTTTTTGGTAAAAATACGCTCGATAATGGGAATGGTTCACGTTCGAAAAAGACGATTTGGTTGTCTTGACGGTTTCACGTCGAATGATGTAAATGTTAAAGTTTAAAACACACTTTCATTTTTATTGTTCAGCCAAAAATGGTGTGGGTGCAGCCCAATGTTTGAACCATAAAGAGAAATTGGCCAAGATCATGTGTCCAAATCGATTGAAAACATTTTTAGACTAAATTATGTGCATTTTTTATGGTGGGCGTTTCGTGATACTACAGATGCCGGTTAAGGTGTTAAATATAGTAAATTCAGTCATTGCACCCATCAAACATCAGCATATAGATAGCAAATCAGCTGATTCACATGCATAGATAAAGTTCATACAAGCATCGTGTTGAAATACACTTGCATTGTATGTAAACAAAGCAGTAAAAATTAAAAACATAAAAATCGGTATACATATATATGAAATCGATCATCTATTGCTAATTGTGAATGTTTTTTTTTTTTCTTTCAAGTGTGTATAAAATTGGTGTCTGGTCAAAGCCATCAAACAACTTTACTTACCAATTATGTTCAGCAGATATTTCCTCATCGCTTGCAAAATTCACTGGCCAACGTTGTGTCGCTGTTTTTGTTTGTGTGTATGAGCTCGCAATCCAAGCTTAACGATTCAAATTACGTAAATTATAAAATGAATTTCTGTATTTACTGTCTAAGATGTAGATTTTTTTCTTCTTCTTCTTCTTTTTGAGTATATTGCTTAAAAGGTGCATAGAATTATCTATCTCTTTTATTCCGTCTCTTTTTCTTTCTTCCGTTCACGTATAGCACTATAATATCAATATTTATGGTTGTTGGTGTTGCGTTAAATTGAAATTCTTTTGCAATTGAATTAATAATAAATCGATTCCAGTTTAAACCGGCCACACATTGTAAAGGTTGTTCGTTTTTATAAAATTGTAATTTTTTTGTTGTTGTTTGTGGATTTTCTTTTTATCACATTTATATAGTATTTTATTTTTGTTTTATGTTTATTCACAGTAATAATTGGCTATTATTCAATAGAAAATCTAATTAAATTGGTAAGGTGTGATTTATTGGTTTGAATACATCCGATTGTATTTTATATATATATATATTCAATGCGATTCACTTCAATGTGCCACTTCAATTTTCCATTGTAAATGTATGATGTCTGTGTTTGAATCTTCTATCATTGTTATCTCACTATCAACTTATTTCAATTGGATCATATACGCAAGAACGCGAAAAAGCGTAGAAGAGTGTTCAATCAATGTACATCTACCGCTTTTCTGCCTCTTCACTTATCGCTGAGTTGTCGTGCACAATTTTATACATTTATACAATGGAATAGCGTCGAAAGACGTTTTCTCGCTCTTTTTTGGTGTTAATAAAATGTCTTTTTTATTTACCTTTTTTTATGTACTTCTTTTAATGTGTATTTTATTTATTTATTTTTTATTGTGAGCTTTTTTTACTTGATGCACAACTGTATATGAACAACTGAATTAAGGGCAAACCAAAAACACGGTTCGAAACGTTTAATTGGCGACAATTCTATAGGTGCAAGGTGCCCGTCAGCACAACAAACAGAATGTGAAAAATAATACTGACAACAAAGAGTATTTGTTGAAACAGAACGATATACCGCCAAAACAAAATAAACACTGGAGCAATTCGAATCAATTGATAAGATTATGCGTTTCGATTGACACCTTATATTTATATCTATTTATTTTAGATTTGTGAATGATTTGTTTTTATGTGTTTGTCTTTCATCATCATTGAATTCATATGGAATTTTTGTAAAATGATTGTGATCTTCGGCATTTATAAAGATTTTTTTATTGTACGGTTGTTGTTGTTTTTGTTTTCTACCGCTGTCATTCATGAAAGTCAGACTTGAAATCGATTCAAAATTAAATAAATCCAAGCGTAAGATGTTTATGTCACTTCACCTCATTTAGAACAATGAAATACAATTTTATGCATAAATAAAACGGTGCTTATTAGGTACACATTTCTTTTCTTTAAAGCACCAATTTCAGTTAGTTACAGCTGTCTTATTTCAAGTGTGTATTCACCGTTTCATTGAGCTTTAAACTGTTTATCACAATACAAAATACAATTTTGGCTGCTTATTTTGTTTTTGTTCGAGATTAATTAACTTGCACTAAAAATCCATTGAAAATAATACACCGAAACAACGTGCGCTACACCAAAAATGAAATAACAAAAGAAAAAAACGGTTTAAACTGCCGACGTAATTTCCATTTCATTAATTAATAACGATGTCGCTGCACACACACATTCCAACTGCGTTGCCGAAGAAAGTCACAATATTTAACAAAAATGTACTGCAAATGAGAGAATGAAAAAAAAGAAGAGTTTTAAATGACCTCTTTACGGCAAATGTCATACATACACACGGCAATTGTTGATCAAGATTGAAAATATCAAAATTAATTTGTAACGTGGTTTAATTACAATAATTATGTTATATTTACTGTGTACAGCTGTTAAGCGATTATCGCAACAATGTTGTTGCTCATGCGAAGCTTGGTATGTATTTGAAGAGCCTTGTGTATTGCGATTGAATTAAAAAACACAACAACTTCCATCAAAGTGTAACGCAACAATGTGACGCTCAAATTCAATCCCGTGGAAACGCTCGCGCAAGAGAAACGATTTTTGTTTCAAAATTCACAAAGTTTAATAACAAATGCACGAAATTTTGTCACCGATCGACTCAACACATAATAATTATTATTCAATATATGTGCGCTCTATTGCTGCAATTCTCTATCGCTATCGTCACAAAATACAAACTTGTTTTTTTTTTGCAAGCACGATTGACTGGTTTTATCATTTATTCTCAATTTTAAATGCTTCGTCCATATTTTTATAGATCGCGCAATGATTTGGTGATTTATTTGAAAACAACAAAATTATAATAATGGAAAATGATCACTATATATTAATTTATACAAAAGACCGATTTTTCGTCATTTTTATTTCTGATAAATAACGGTCATTAATTTTAGCTATTTTTCGACGAAAACTACCTGTTTCATGAAATAAAAATAAAACATTACCACAGATTGCATTCTACAAGCGAGCACATTTATCGACTGAGCGGAAAAAATCGTACTAATAATTCAGCACAAAATGAGCTAATCTAACAATAAAACACTATTTAGTCCAAACACAGGTATAAACGATTTATGTGAATGTAGCGCATACACTCAACTGACACGGTTCAACGTAAACGTGCACAATAACAAATGGAAAGAGTGAGAGAAACTTAAACCGAAGTTGAATATATCGTAAATGCGTTCAGTGGCTGTCGGTGATTAGTGTTCCTTTCCTCTATCGTTTTCTATTTCATAATGTCTACTGACTGAGTTGAATCAGCCTTAACTGAGCAAATGACTTGACATGCGAGGAAACAGTTTGTTATTTATTCAATCTCGAGTGCATATGCATGTAATTATACTGTAATCAGTACACGTACAATTTATGAGAACATTTGTTTCTATTAAGCTCTAAGCTTTTTTTCTTTCAGAGAAATCTAAACCAAAAATCTATCAATTTGTGTATATATTCACATCATGTGTGAATGGTGAATCACATAAATAAGCTTTGCTAAAGATTCTTACCAATTTGCTTAGTTGCAAGGTTATATTGCATTGCATTTGATAGACGCATGTCACAAGATCGTTTCATATCTGTACGGAAATTGCTGGCTTTGATTGAAGGTAATTTGTTGATAATGAACAATGAAGTACCATCACGAAAAAGGACACACGTTTCCAGGGGAATCTCATACGATCAGGCATGCAGTTGAATTTTCACAAGAATACAATTACCAGGTATTATAATGAGATAATTTCAGCCAGATGAATCAGTTCAGCCAGATATCGCCAGGAGCTGAAATGGAAGGAGAACAATAAAAGAGATTGTTATAGTGATTGTAGCAATGTAAGTTTAATTATAACCATAACAATCACTTCTATTGTTTTCACTCAATTTCAGCTCCTGACGATATCTGGCTGAGCTGATTCATCTGGCTAAAAATATCTCATTATAATGTCTGACAATTACATCAAATACAGTCTGTGTAGTGTGTTCGGAATACAGTCGATTTTAAGACATTTTAAGTTATTTGTCGTTTGTCTTTGTAAGTTTTCTAATCTAATCGCCGTCCAGAAAACTTAAGGAATTAGTTGTCAAATTGGTTGTGTTGATCGAATCCAAAATGTGAGGCTGACTTTATTTTAAACTGACTGATCAACCCAGCTGACATGAATTAGTCGGCTAGACATATCATCTCATTACATTGTCTGATTTTAAATTTGGTGTTACGACTGTCAAGTGTCTAACTAATTCAATTATATAAATCTTCAAAAGTAATAATCATAAAACTAAAACATTTATTGAAATGATAAATAAGCAAATTGATTTTTGTCACTTTCTGTTTCGTGGTTTAACAGTTTTTTTTTTGTAATACGAGTTTTGTAATACGAGTAGGTATTTTTTTCTCCTTCTAATATATGTTTTATTTGCTATTTTGTCAAGGGGAAAACCGGTACTGAAATACTAAATATACTCAGAAGTATTGAAAAGTACCGAAAAGTACCGAAACGTATCAAAACGTACCAAAACGTACCAAATAGGTATTCGTTTCAAAAAAAAGTGAATAATTTTTTCGTGTTTTCGACTGTCTTTTTGGTTTTACATGGCAAGCTTGTATGAAACTCTCGGAGACTCGGTATAATGCACAAAAAAAGTGAAAAAATGTTTTTCGATATTTTTGTGCACTATACCAAGTCTCCGAGAGTTTTATATAAGCCTGCCATGTAGTAGCAGAAAGACAGTCGAAAAGACGAATTTTTTTTTCAATATTCTCGACTGTCTTTCTGCTACTACATGGCAGGCTTATATGAAACTCTCGGAGACTTGGTATAGTGCACAAAAATATCGAAAAAAAAAATTCACTTTTTTGTGCATTATACCGAGAGTTTCATACAAGCTTGCCATGTAACACCAAAAAGACAGTCGAAAACATGAAAAAATTATTCACTATTTTTTTGAAACGAATACCTATTTAGTACGTTTTGGTATGTTTTGATACGTTTCGGTACTTTTCGGTACTTTTCAATACTTCTGAGTATATTTAGTATTTCAGTACCGATTTTCCCCTTGTATTTTGTACTCTTATTCATAAGTCACGAAAGGAGTTTTGTGAGGAAATGTCAACAAAAATCATAAAACCGCTAATAAATGAAATAGTAATGCTGAAACAAAATGAAATAAATCCATTAAAATTGTAAAAAAAAGAAACCAACAAAGAATCCATTCATTCTTCTTTATCATATATACATACATCATTATCGTTTTTTTTGCAACATACATTCAAAGCGTATGCGAATTCAACTGGATCTGTGATATCTCTCACACGTTTTATACATCCTTTCCCCATTGCAATCACGATCTTCTGGTGATCTTTTTGTAATTTATCAATTTCTTGCATCACATGAGCATAGTTAAGTTGAGCTGCATTCCGATGTAGTGCACCGGCCTCTTCCATAACACAATGCATGAAACATTTCAACGGATAGCTGTTTGGTAGATTTTCAAGGTCAGTTGTTTTTTCAAATAGTTCAACTTCATCACGCGTCGATCCTGGACATTTTTTATAACACAGTTTACATACAGCCTCTTCATCGAAGCTATTTTCCAATGATGCTGATGGCCACTGAAAATGAAAACACTTTCTAAGTACCCGATTGATTTCTATTAAATGACACGTTGGATTCAATTTATTTATTTGAAAATAATATTACATCATCCCTTTTGCGAGCGATCACCAAAACAACAAATCCGAACAGTACGTAGAAAAGGTGTTGAAGACACATTTTTCAATTCGCTTGCTGAACTTCTAATTGAAAAGAAAAAGTTACCGCGTTTCCAACATAGACGATTTATATATATGTCGGAACGAGAAAAAAATGTCAACTCAGTTAAAACCAGAAATCGACACTTTTTCGTCTCATTTTTAATTATAGGAAGTGAATTTTATGGTTTGTCATGATCCAGGGGGTAGACATAAACTTTTACTATACAAAACTAAAAGTATACTAGACTCTATTGTTCTCTTATAAATGTCTTCACACTGGCAATGCAATTCATTTGGCTCAATACTAGAAATACTAGCAGACTATTTGCGTTTTTGTGTGCATACTAAAAGAAACTATAGGAGAAACTAAAAGAAACTCAATGCATATTAAATGAAACTAAATATACTAGAAATTGTGCACATGTCTTATGTTTTACTTTATTTTAGACAAACTGCCGACCATCGATACGTTCACGAGGGTTCCCCCAAGAAATTTTTTGGAAAATTTGTGGAGAAAATTATGTTTATTTTGGTTTTTTTGGGGAGAAAAAATCTTTCGATTTGCTAGGGATTTTTGAGCTCCCCCTAGGAACGTAAAATGAAAAACTTTTTTGCTAAAACCAAAAGAAAATCTTCCAATTTACCGTCACAACCGACCCGTAAATTTTGATGAGTAACTCAAGTCAATTGTGAAAAATCGCAAATCATTTAATATTGCAGAAATTGTTTGTAATTGATTTCACATACAAAATAAATAACCGTCAAAACACCAGAATTTTTTATAAAATTATTTCAAATTGTGGATTGGCCACAAAATATATAAATTGAGGAGTACACACAAAGGTTCAAAGTTTTCAAACTTTTTGAATCATCTATCAAGAAATCTTCAAATTGCGGACAGCATCAAATCAATTCAGTGTGAAAAATCTCACCAGCAGTCTCGAATTGCCTCATAAGTAACATAAGTGTTGAAGAAAAAATCAGAATTAAGCATGTACTCAAACAAATTTCCGAAAATTTCAATTAAATATTACTGTTTCATTATTTCAGCCTTTGAAGTATGCGAAACTGTTAATGAACAATATATTTACGAATGAAATACTGTACTTAGAGAAAGCGTACAATTTGTTTTCATTACAATGCGTATTCTATGTCTTTACGCCTGGTTACACCGCACAACCTTCAAATTCCACGTAAAATGTGAATAATTACAATTTATTTCAATGTAAATGAAAAACGAAAGTATAGAGTTCTATGGAATAAAATTTGCAAAACATCCTTCTATAAACAAAACAAAAAACGGAAAAAAAATCTGTCGGAAATATTATAAAAGAAATGGAGTGGGAAAAGAAAGGCCACTCAAGAAAATAATGATATGTCATATCACACTCATGAGTCCATTGACATTAACAACCAACACTAAGTTTAATCACGTACAATAAAATTAATACAAATAATCTACAGTCAATAACCATAAACCCAATACTCACGTTTTTAATTTTTTTGTTTCACGGTTCGAGAAATGTACAAACCTGGAAATGCACTTATTATTTACTTGGTTCTCAAATTACAAAAAACAAATAAACTTCTAGACATGAAACAATCATTTTTTTGAATGGCATCGAAAATCGGCAATAATGAATAATTAAAGATGAACTTTATAATTGCTTCAAAATAAATAAATTTCAAACTGTTTATTTGCATAACAAAGGCAACAAATTGGAGCTGAGGATAAAACGTGTCCATTTCATAGACAATATACACCATAGACATAATTAAAAAAAATCATTCAATGTCATAGTCTATGACTCATAGATAAGTTATAAATATGGACAAAACATATTGGCATCGATGAATGTCATAAGTTTTTTTTTCTGTGCACTGTTCAACTGAATAAACACAAACAAATAAATCAAGTGGCACGTGTTTATCATGTGCATGTGCAATGTGCGTATTTCGATTATTGCTTCATTATCCGATAATATTTTTTTTCGGAGGATGCAAAAGAAAAAAAATCGTAAATTTCAACAAATAACCGTCGTTTAATTTGATGAAAACAAGTAAATGAAAGTTCTAAAAACGTGAAAATAGAATTTTTTGCTCCACAAAAAAATATGTTGGGTTTCTTTGAAAATGCACATTTCGTTTTTCATCCATAACCGATGAAATGTGTACGAAAAAGCAGCTGTTCCGCAACGCCTATGTTGGATGCATTTGCAATTTTCTTCATGCTGCCCATCAGATGGAGTGGAGTGCATGTGTATTTTTGTCGAGATAGTTGATATCATTGCAACGTTGCATTGCGCATGTGATGACAAACAGATAGAGAGCATTTGATGTTTGGCATCAAGAATCCAAACATTGAATTATGGAGCATTTCGGGTCATTTCTTCCGCATTGCACTGCATGAAACAAAAACAAGCTGTGACTTTGTTTATACACCACAAAAAATCTCTCATTTTTTTCTTCCTCTTCTGGTTGTGAAGTTGTGATCTCAAGAAAAACGTCGTTCATGCACTCAAGTCGTATTATTTATACATCGCGCCACGTTATTGATGATGCACAATGCATTCATTCTTTAGTAAACGCACAATGGTTGCCACAATTTTAATTTGCATCTTTTTGCTCTACATTACATTTACATTTAACTCCTGTTTAATGCCATCCATACGACGGTCACTGCAAAAAGTAAGTGTTTCCCACCAAAGTAAGAAAAAAAAGTGTCGTTTTTCATTTTGTAATTCATTTTTGTTTTTTTCGTTCAAAAATCTCTTGGTGCAGAATAACGTATACGAAAATGATGAGCCAAAGAAGAAGACAACGTCAAGTAATTGCAGTGAAGTGCTTGAAATTCGGCTGGTCGACACGGTTGTTAGAAATGTTCCATTGACTGGATTGAACGACGGTGAGAACACTTCAAAATATCGTTTGCTTAGCGAACATGGTGAACGATTAAATCGACATTTGCCGAAAGTGCTTATAATTGGGATTAAGAAAAGTGGAACACGAGCTTTATTGGAGTTCATTCGATTGCATCCACTTGTTCGTGCAGCGGGTTCAGAGGTGCATTTTTTTGATCGGCACTATCAACGCGGATTACATTGGTATCGCGGTCGTATGCCAACAACGATTGACGGACAGATTACAATGGAGAAGACCCCTTCCTATTTTATAACCAAAGAGGTTCCGTATCGTGTTCATCACATGAATCCAAGCACAAAGTATGAATAACTTTTAACTATGAATTTTGTTGAACATTGATTAAAATTCATTTTTTTTAGATTGCTAATCGTTGTTAGAGATCCAGTGCAGCGTGCAATATCAGATTATACGCAAGCGGCAAGCAAACGAAAAGAAATGAAAACATTTGAAGAGCTCGCATTTTTAAACCTTACCGCAGGTCAGTGGAAATAATTCAAAAGAACTTTGCTACAAAATTATGATTGTAATTTGTTTGTTTGTTTTTTTTCTTTTCATCAAGGTGTCGTCGACACAAATTGGGGACCGATCAAAATTGGACTCTATGCACGACATCTCGAACGATGGATAAAATACTTTAGCTTGTCACAGTTTTTATTCATCAGTGGCGAACGCTTGATTAGTGACCCAGCGTACGTCTATTTAATTAACTTAAAAACACTCGAATTATCCATATGTCTCCACTCTTATCTCGTTTCAGATTTGAAATTGGTCGCGTACAAGACTTTCTCGGTTTGAAGCGTATCATAACCGAAAAATATTTTTATTTTAATTCATCAAAGGGCTTTCCATGTCTCATCAAATCGGAGTCGCGTTCAACGCCTCATTGTCTTGGCAAAAGTAAAGGTCGTAGCCATCCCTCCATCAGTTCAAGTGCTTATAAACATTTGAAAGAATTTTATCGTCCTTACAATCTGAAATTTTATCAAATGACTGGCATCGATTTTGGATGGCCATAAATTTGTTTTTTATAAATGAGGAAATATCTCGTTTTCTTATGTCCGCCAAAGCCAATGTTCATCAGCAACCATTTCATATAATCAAAAAAGCTAGTGATATGACTGTATTTAAGTTAGATGACTGATTTATTTGGTGCATTTCAAAACGGTTGAAGTTTATTAGGGATTTTTTTAAAATTAAACAATTGAAAATTCGAGTGCCTCAACAACAGATGCACAACGCAAAGTTTACATAATTCATTTTTTTAAATGGAAATTAGCAATTGTAGGATAATAAAAATTTGAAAATCGTTGTAAACCGTGAATGGTTAAATGATCTAATTATCATTATAATATTAGCCGTCCTACAAATGAGACTCATTCATCGTTTTTTGAATGTTTTTTAATGAATTTTGTGCACAACAGTTTTACGAATATGCCAGAATATACGAATTTATGATTTCGATGGTTCGACAATTTTTATGCATGAACTTTTATTTCGTCTGAAATTTTAAAGAAACAAAATCAATAAAATTTAATATGGATTCAATCAAATGTGTTTTATTAAAAATTGAACTTGATGCAAGTTTTCGTTTTGTAAGCTTATAAAAAGCGCAACCGATTGAAGATAACGCCATCTTCTGGAAGTTGACAATAAAATGAATGGTCGTTTCTTTTAAGCAAATGGAAAGGTTTGAAATGGAATGCTTTATATTAAGATAGAAAGTATTAACGAATAATGGTTTAAAATTGTATTTCAATTATAAGAAAACACACAAAAACGGTCGACGACAATGAGAAAAAAATCCATTTGTGACTAAATGAAAATCGGTTTTCAATTCTAGGTAAACAACTTTATTCGAAAAATATGCATAATTATGCGAAAATTCCACTTCGTTATGACGATAGAAAAATTTCGGTGAACAATGCTAATTGATGATGAGTCCTAATTTGAACGCACACCATGAAAATGAGAACTAAAGACTGTTACTAATGGATATAAACTTGTGACAATGTTATGGATTCAAACTAGGAGTCTACAGGGTCAATTTGCCAGCCCACCCCATGCCCTAGAGAAATTTCGAATTACTCTGGAATTGAACATATGTAAAATAAGGACTTTGTCAGAGATGTTTCGTAATTTTTTTGAAATTTAAATTCCCCTGTATCGCCAACTTCCGATGCTATGGACAATGCTTGAATGCTTGTTTATAGTCAGTTTTTGTGAATAGACGTAGAAAGTGTAAAAGGTGCAGATATTAAAAAAATATTTCACGTCGATAAAAAATGTTCAAAGAATGTTTCGCATGAATGGAATCTGAAGCATAAAACTAAATTTCTTTTGCAAAGAGCCATTGAGTTCACACCTGAATGGAAAAATGCATGGCATGAATATAATTGGTTTAATTATATTGATGTATATTTAGCCCATTTGAACGCTGATGCAGAATATGTTGGCCGAAAAAACGCAAAGGCACAAAGAATGAATCCAGATAAAAATAGAATAGGATAGAGAGAATGAGTAGTAGAGTTCCTAACTCAATTTACAAAGGGCTTGGTATATCGGCGATAAAATCAAATGGCTTAAGTCAAGTTCAAATCGTTTTGAGTGAACAGTGTTCAGTGAGCATAGATTGCACACAATGCCTGAACAACGCGAACTGCAACAACGAGACATTGAATTGTGTGCGAGCGCGTGTGTGCGAGCAAGTGAAAGAGTGAGAGATATTTAACGAAAAAGTTAATGCAGTTTGAAGCAAATGTTACGATGCCATACCATTTCTTCATCGTCGTCATCGCTGTTGTTCGATTTTTGCTATGTGACCGTAGCATCGGGAACAAATCAAAAAGAGATGCACTGAATTTAAGCATCAAAGTACACAATCTATTTCAAAATGTGGCCGAACATTGAATGTAGTACGCCCATGCGTTTACAACAATATTCATTAGGTGCACACTGCACACATATTATATAGATATATTTTTTTTTTCGTTCATACGATTTATATGTATTCATTGCATGGGTGCATACAGCGATAGTTTGGCTCTATCTCTCACTCTGCATCGGTCGGTACGCGTTCGTTAGTTGTTGTTGTTGTTATTATTGCAGCCATATTCATGTTTGCCCTTCTGTCGGTCTAAGTAGTTCATTGATCCTTTTCATTCTGTACTCGAAATGTGCTCGTTATTCAGAAATTTTATTTTTCTGCAATGCTTGGTGTCTCCATGCATTTTGGACTTTGGCATAACTCATCGAAATCAAACAATGATCGCTCACTTGCTTCGCTCTTTTAATATATAATGCCATTTAAAAACTTCAGAAAAGGATTCAATTCAATTTTCGCATCGTTACTATCGCTTTTGTTCTCTCTCACGCTATCTCTATCTCTCTCTCTCGTCCCGCTCTTTCTCTACAGCTCTCTATCTCTCCCTCGCATTCCCATCCAGCGAGATTGAATCAAACGAAACACACACACATTCATAGATGGAATTTTTATATGAAAATAATGTGCATCCATGTAACCGTCATATCGAACATTCGTTGTATGTGTCAACATGCCAACGTTTAAACGAAATGCTTCCTTAGTTTTTGGCATGCACATTTGAACAGCATATATCGAATTATATACATTATTTTCTATTGTACTCTACTCTTAACATTGTGCTACTCTAGTTGAGTGTGTGTCTGTGCCAATGCACAGCCACCTTTGAAATGAACAAGAAATGCTTCATTCATGTTCAATTTCCAACAACATTGATATGACGACCGGCTCGATTCTCTCTTTCTCGATTTCATTCCCCGTCTCATCGTACGTTTTCACTGAATTCAGCCGAGTTGAGTCACTAAGCGACGGCAGAAATCAAATTCAATTGGAAAATATCAGCAAAAAAAAATCGTTAATACCAGCGAGAAAAAAAAAACGAACACTCCCCATCTATTTCGAATGGGAAATCACAATCACGTGAGAGAAAGAGGAAGAGAGGGAGAGCGTTAAAAAAACCTTACACAATGCCAACCATAGAATAAAAGGAATTCTCGGTCTGACGAATCGACACCAGTACTCGTTGATCGAATATTGTTTAACAACATTTTCAATTGTATTGGGGTTTTTTTTTCTCTTCTCTTGCTACGGCAGGCTTCAAATGTGCTGCAACTGTCTAAATGCAACCCATCAAATAGTCACACGAAAGCTAGACAGTGAACATTGATTTCGATTGGAATTGATGGTGATTTGACGTCGAAACATGATGAAATATCCATAAGGCTTTAATCATTTATTGACAGATTTATTTTCATTTCCAACATAAAGACACTAACACGATTCTACTTCCCTGTGGAAATTGAATTGAAATTGCTGATTTCCTTACCACAGAAACGATATCTCCTCCACTTATCAATTTTTCTTTTTTCGAAATAAATATTCAAGATATATCTCTATTAATTACGTTATATTATTTTATTTCGATTGGACACTTTGCTGTCGCATTGAATGCTTTCGACTTGGACGCAAAACAACGTTCATGTGTAAGTAAGAAGAACTGTATTCGAACCTACATCAACATTTTTTGCCGAACGGCATCCAAACACAATTCAGATAAGAAAAAATTTAACGAAAAAAAAACAAAAAAACGAACGAACTATCAAACTAAAACAAAATGCCTTTAAGTTCACGGTACATAAGTGAGTCGTTCGGCACATTTACGCATTGAATCCGTGCCACGTGCAACACAAACATCTTTTTTGTGTCGAGGATATTTCGGCATTTTCGGCGAAAGTGAGAAAAAAGAAGAGATTCTTATTTGCACGCAATAAAAAGGTACTCTTTTTGTAACTGTTGCTTCTTTTTTTTCAACGTTCTTTGCAAAGAAACTCGAATTTCCTTTGATATTTTAAGAGATATTTGGCCAGGTCCAAGGTTTACTTTTGATATGTAAAAATTGTACAAGTCCTCAAACATTCACCGAATCTTGTCTAGTCGTTTCATTTGTGGTTAGTTGAATTGCAATTTTTATGTTGATCCTTGGAAATGTTGTTATTTTTACTAATTTTTATTTCACAAAGTTTCAAAAAGTTTAAAGTTTTTTTTTTGTTCCAAAGGTGTCCATTTCAGTTTTTCCAGATTTTTTAATATCATTTTGTGCGTCAACATAGCATCTTTGAATCACTAAACTGGCGTGTCTAAAAGGAATAAATGAGACATTCTCATCTTCATCTAATAATGAATAAATCATTTGAAATGGTGATGCATTCTAAAAAAGTGTTCCAGTCCCACGTTCAAGCATTAACAAAAAAAGATTGAAAATCGTTTAAACGAAATGCCATTTGAAATTTTCTTTTGCTCTAAAATGGCAATGAAAAAAAAAAGCCGAGCAACAAAGTGATTGTTTCAAATGTCAGAAAATTGAATGAATGTGCACGTATGTGTGCTCAGAGCATCCCACGAATATGATTAATTTGCGATGATGTTTGCACGGCGGTATTATGAAGAGAGCAAAATATGTCGAATACATTTATTCTCAACCTCGATTTGCTTGTCATTTTCCCATATGAAAACGAGATGTGCTCATGCATCGATAAGCTGAATGCCCTTTGATACGAAACTCAATCGAATTTCTTGTTGTTGCTGCTATTTTCGTTTGACTTTGGCGATAGTGAAATCAAGCGCAATGATTATACTGTTTGCTCATCTCTATCTTGGTTGCTCTAACTTGGTTGCATTTGAATCACAAGTTTTGTAAATGACGATGATATATAATAATACAAAAATTGCCAAATGAAAATATAAATACAAAAACACCGAACAACCGATTGAAATTCGCATACATAAACTGCATCACATCGCAGTAAATGAATCGTTTAGAACTCAAAAATTTTCTAGGCGAATGAAAATGGGCACGCAAATGAAATAGGAGTAGAGAGTGCGAAGTCGAGCGCGGGAGACTTAAATGAATTTGTATTTTGTGGCTATATTTCTTATGCGCCGATGTATTTGTATCTGCCTCAAAGCTGTTTGATAGGACTGAAAGTAATTGCAAAAAGGTGAAATAATCATTTGCGGGCAGAGGAAAGCCCATAATCAGAAATAAATACCAGCCAAATGCCGGGTTCGAGTTAAAATTAAATAATTAAAATAGTTCAGATAGTTGCGGACGATTTCTCTCTCTCTGTCTTGTGAACCGTATTCTGCTGTTCCTGTTGTTGCCATGCAATTGATATGGATCGTTTTGTATGCGCGCTCGATTGTTAGAGAAAGAGACAGAAAATAAAAAAAACCGAATTGCGATTGCGATGCATTGAGTTCCCGAATCAGAACACAGAACAGCACCATAATCAAGAGATGTAACGTTCAAGAAAATGGGAACCGGTTTTA